AAAAAAATAAAATAAAATGAATGAATGATTCAATCGATACATCGTAATTGTTTATCGATCGATCGTCTTCGAATAATCTTCCCTCAATTAGGATTCATGGATCGATCGAAGTAAAATGCGAGCACTCTTTCTATAAATATATATAAATATATATATATATATTTTTTGTTTGTTCGTTTGTTTGTTTTAAAACGTGAGAAATGAAAATAATATAAAGATACAAATAATTAAATGAAATCTTATTAAATGTTGAGTCTGTCAGGTGGTTGACCGCGCTAACGCGCCGAAATCAAATGTATTTATAAATATTTATTTATGCGAGATAAAAAAAAATGGAAAGAAAAAAAAATCTAATATATTGAATGACGTGTACGTAAATAATCGTAAGTTAAGCTGTAATTTTTCTAATAAAAAAAAAGAAAAAAAAAAGAAAATGAATAAATAAATAAATAAATAAATGAATAAATAAATAAATAAATAAATATACAAAATAATTTTTTGATGCGTTCCATTCGCCAAAACGATAGGCCAAAACGAAAATCGATGCGAAAGGAACTCCGAAGCAATTAAAAGAAAGACTCTATTCAATGATAAAATAAACAAATAATAAAAATAAAAAATAATAATGAATAATAATAATAATAATATTAATAAATAATAATAGTAATAATAATATTAATAATAATAATAATAATAATAATAAATATAATAATGAGATAATGATAGTAGTAACGAGTAATGGTAATGATAATGATAATGATAATGATATTGACACGGGAAAAAATTTTAAAGCTTTCGTTCCGTAATATTGTTGGAAAATAAAAACTGTGAAAACTACGCAAGTGAAGAAGAGAGTTAAAGAAAAAAAAAAAAAAAAAGCTTATAATTAGTCTGCTTAGATTATAGCTACAAGTAATAAATATAAGTTATATAAATTAAGCTAAAATTATTATTAAGGATGATTATTATTGAGATAAGAGTAGATTTAGGTGAGATTATATTATAAGCCAGTTGTAATTGTCCTTTGTGAATATACATAAGGCAGAAATGAAAAATACAAGAAACTTTTATGAGTAAAAAAAGTGTCTAACTTTTTTTTTTTTTTTATAAATTTATTCGAATACCTCGTACGCCATAGTCTTTAAAAGAAAAGACTTTTTTTTTTTTGCATTTATTGCAATTGATTTGTAATCACAATATTATTTTATATCGCTATTAGTACTTGTGTCGTATAATAATTAAATAAAATCAAATTATTATCGCATTGTTGAAAACTAAACGACAAGATTCTATGCAACAAACTTTTTTACCAAATTAAAATGGTTGTATACATTATATAATATATATTATATATAATATATATATATATCTCTTATTATTCTTGTGGAAAATAATTGGTTCGTATACAGCATTTGCCTAGAGTTAAAATTATTAAAGTCTATAAGGAATATAATTGATTAATAAACCATTATTTGTTTTCTTATCTAATAACAAGAGTTTCCTAAAGATACTTAAAAAAAAAAAAAAAAAAAAAAAAAAAACATTATACAAGACTATTTAAAATTTGTCAATCATATATGTACAACGAGATATCTGACATATTAAACTTACAAATAATTATTATTAAAATATACTCATCTTTTTTGATAATAAAATTGACGTTATTTCAAGAGCTTTCCTTCGTTTGATTAATAACATTTCTCGTTGTTAAAAAAAAATTCTATGCGATGAAAGTAATTTTCTTTTTCATAAAACATGCTAATAATATTACTGTCTTAGCCAACCGACAGGTATTATTATGTAATAAGTAGAATCTGAAACGTACAATGATTAAATAAAAATGAAGTACGTATGTCAAAATTATCTTTCATGTATATGAATATAAATTACCTTTCTACATTTCGAAGTCGGACTTCCATTGGCTCAAAACAATCGTTTGTAAAAACGAACCGACATGAGGTTGATAAACTTTTCATTTATGTCTTATTTAGAATGCTTCGATCTTTTTTTTTTTTTTTGAAGGTAATTATATTAATGTCAAAAATGTCAATGAAAAAATATATATTAAAAATATTCGAAGAAATTTAATTGCTAACTGACCTACTAGTGCTACCACCGATGGAACCACGATGAATAGGAGCTTCAGTTTTAATGATAACACCTTGTGCGATACCATAGTGTTCGTAAACATCTTTACCAGATACGAAAGTATTGACATTCGACGTTGTTTGCTTTGATTTCATTGATGACATTTTTTCCGTTGGACGTGATGGCAAAACATCAGGAGGTAATGTAGTATTACTGACACTTTGTAAAGCATTTAAACTTTGCATCACTAAATGAGATGCAATTGGCATGGACAATGGATTCGTTGTTTGTACAATTGTTAATTTTTCTTTTTGTTCGGTCGATTGTACATCCTTTTGAATATCTGACGATGTCAAAGAGGTAGGTGACTCTGATACTCTTTTAACAAAATCATTTGTAGCTTTGTCAACGATAGACGAGACCCTTTGAATTGTACCTTTAACAATTTTGTTATCAATTAAGGGCGATCTCTCTGATTGAGTTGTTGTTAATGCACTGACAGATTGACTTCTTTTCGTTGATTCGTTTAACTTTGTTTCACTCGTACGTGTTGAAGTCTCCGAATAAGGCGTTGTCTTTGCACGATGCTTTCTCGTTGGAGTTTGAGGAATTTCAACGTGAGCTTTCCCATTGACAGCACTGTTTCTAGGTATTGAATAGGTTCTTTCTACAGTGACGTCAATTGATGAACCATTGCTACCGTGATTTCCACTAGTTGTTGGCACAGAACTGTCCCTTGAAGTAGTACCGTTGTCTTTTTGAGAATCGTCAATGATTTGATCATTAATATTGGCCGATGAAGATATTGTATTATCAATAGTCGTATTATTTTTTAATCCCATCTTATTTCCATTGATAACTTGTCCAGTATTTAGTTCTAAAGGCTCAGTGTTTTGTTCTTCTTTCTTGATCATTGCTAAGCTGGGGTCGCCATTAGGAAAACTAGCAAATCTAGCAACGGTTTCTCGTTCTTCAGCAACTTGTGGAGCAAATGGTATCTTCCTTTCAACGGGTTTAACCGATGAACGCCTTTTTGTTACCATATCTGTTCGTCTCTTTCTTCTTTTCATCTCAGACGTTTCTTTCTTTGGTGGATGCATTTCTGGAAAATGTCTACCTCTCATAGAAACTGGTTCCTTATCCTCTAACTCTTGTACATCTATGCATTCATTAATGTCTGATTCGTCCTCTTCATTCTCTTCTACGATAGCACTAGCTTCTATCCATTCCCTGATACGGTCTTTCTTTTTAGCTCGATCAACGGTCGTTTCAATTCCATATGTAGTCAGCGTATGTAGGAGTTGATTTTTTTCTTCCAAAGAACTGTGAAAACTGTACATTGATGGACAGAGTTCATCTCTTTCATCGGCACCACCTGAAATAAGTAGGACAAGTTTATTATACTTTCGTGTAATATAACTAGATTAATGAGGTTAGATATTAAAATAATTTTAACATATTTCTTACCATTCAAGGCTTTTTCCGCACCCAATTTAGCTAGCCATCTGTCTTCTAAATATTTATTAACTTCCAACACGCTAACAGGCCTTTTCTCCGCCTTAGGATCTAACAGTCTCTTAAATAGTCTGCATCAATATATTCAAATATCTTAATATTTGATTATGTTTATTTGATTATTTGAAAGTCGCAACAAACATTTCAATAGACCATGGTTCAAAGAGAACTAATTTGAACGTTTGCCAATTCAAAAATATAATGTCACAAGAATCCATTAACTCATTTGTTCGCACAATTTAAAGAAACATTATCTAATATACATATGCATACATAAACATCGTCAAAATATAATAATTTGTAAATAATAAAAATTATCAACATTATATATTTGATACTCAGAAAAATAATAAGGCATGAACAATTTAGATTGATACCACGTGGTCATGCACACTAAATGTTAAGATATTTACCTCTGTGCCCGTGAGCTGATCAGCTGAAATAATTTCGGTTTCTTGGCGATGTTAAGCGTTGCATTGTGCCAGTTTAGATATCTTGTGTATCGTGGGTCGTCCAATGCTGCTTTCTGCCATGGTAGGCATCCGGTCAGGCAAACAAATAGGACAATGCCGAATTGCCAAACGTCATGAGATGTCAGGGCTCTGAAAATTGTTTGAAATTTAATAATCAATCGATATTGATTACCAAAACTGTCAATTAATTTTATTAATCATCGTTTAAGACAATTGACCTTTTTAATTGTCCAGAATTGGTGATGCATAGTGATCTCAAATAGATCTATAGGAAGACTCAAGTATAATGTAGTGTTGTTGGTGAAAATAACTAATTGGTAAATAAGTAATGGTAGTAAAATTAAATCGGTGTTGATAGAGAGTTGTGTTTTAAAATAGAATTAAAGTAAACTTTCATGCAACTCACAATCGTATATTTAAAATATATAGTTCTTAATTACTTGTAGGTTTCATCGGTCTTGATCTGTAGTACCTCGGGCGGTGAATAAGGAAGCCACTCATTGTGCCTTCGTACGATAGTGTTAACCCGTCTGGTTTCACCGAAGTCACAAAGCTTTATACGAGAAAAATCGCTTCGAAAAACTAATACATTGTCCAACTTGATGTCTCTATGAACAAGCTCGCGACTGTGAATATGATGGACAGCGGCTGCCAACTGTCTTGCAACTCGTTTTGCATGTAGCTCGCCCAAACCAGTCTCTGTTACGTTCGACGTTAGATCACCTGAAAATATACATCATTCACTATCACTTATCCATTCGAATAGAATTTCAAATTATACTTTTGTTATATTATTTAAATAGATTCGTGAATATTCAATTATTAACGCGATGAAATTAATTTTAAAAATTAATTAACAATTATCTTCAGTATTATTAGTTTGACGATGTGTATTTATTTGATTGAGTTAAATCAGATTTACTGACGAATACAGATTAAATGTGTATATAGTATAGAAAATTTGCGAGACAAGTTGTATGCAATCATTAAAGAAACATGGCAGACACGTAGAAGAACGTAAATCATTGATCTTACCCAGTGGTGCGTATTCTTGGCTGAAAACGTAGAAACCAGCGGTCTCGAAAGCAACGTCGTATGTAGTTATGATGTTACGATGTGCTGCTAGATGTAACCCGTAATGGAATTCACGAAAAAAATCTGATAGGCCGGTGTACGCTTTTGGTAGAGCTTTCAAGACCATTTCAGTTTGCGTACTGCGATGCTCGGTCAAAAGAATTTTTCCGAACCATCCCTCACCGACGATTTGAAGTATATCAAATTCGTCAATTAAGTTAACCTGAGGTATGAAGAACTTTTGATTAATATCGTTAGCGTGGCTTTTATCCAAGTTGAGATGAAATCGGCCATCGTTGGCCGACAATGTGTTAGCAGCAGGTGCAGTCTGCATGATATTCGTCGATACAAGAAGAAGATCCCCTACCGAAACGATCTCTAAACGATCACTGTGCGTTGTACGCATGGATCACCATCCGTAGACTCTACTCGCACGAATCGTCTGTCTCTATTTTTAATTCGACGCATGCTAACGTCGGCACTAAACGAACACATCACGTTTTTGTGTCACAAAACGAGGGTTCGTACCATGGTAAAAATCTCTTAAGGTTTTTTTTTTTATTTTATTCTTTTTGTATTTTTCCTATTCATTTATTTGAATAACTAAGAAGAAAATCGCTTAATGGAATAGTTGGCTTAGTTAGTTCAAAACAATTTTATACAACTATTTTTTAAGGTTTGATCGATCATTAAATAAAATTCGTAATAAATTAAATTTTCAATAATTAAGTCGTCTATATAATAAACATAATTAATGTCTTATATAATTGAGATTAATAATAAAATGTGAAAAATTCTATTCAACGTTTAACATTAGTACCAAACCGTGAGATCACGTGGCACGTGTTACGCAAGTAGTTTACAAATACAATTACGTATTCTCAGTTCAATGTCTTGAAAGTGAACATGATTAACATAAAACTGACACGATTCAAGAATCTGTCCCAACTATATCTACATTAAATCATTATGATATAGAGACTATCGCATGGCGTCATCTTTCCGAAATCGTCAAGTAGAAGTGTTATTAAGAAAGGAAACTGGTTTAATGCCAGGAATAAGGAAATTTCTCGTAATTTCGACAAATGTAAGTGAGTGTATTGTTAAATTTTGCTAGCTATTTCGGGATCTCAATAACTCGATTCGCTGGAAAATCCGTATGGTATAGTTAATTCTAAATGATGACTAAAGTGCCATGCCTTTTAATCTTTCAAATAAATGATTAATGAATTTTACCTTTTCCAGCTCGAATTCTCGTACCCTGTGAATCGATCCACCAATAGCCTTCTTCATTAAATTCATCCTGTTTAATAATTTAGGGTAATGCTTGTCAATATAAAATTGATGAACGTACGCACACTTTTATTATAAATATTAAATGCACTATAAACGTCGTCACATTTAATCATTTCCATATATTACAATTTTTATTTGAAATCCAACGATAATCGTACTTGCACTTATAGAAATGGTTCCGCCGTTGATGATTAAATGAACTTTATTGTCACGTAACCAACGTTCGCCAAACCAAACCAATGAAAAACTATTAACGTCCTAGCTAATTTATCAGGACATATCAGTTACATTTCACGTTATATTCTCTTATACGTATAAATTAACACGTTATAATATGATTTAATGTAATTAATAAAAAAATCATTAAAAAAAAAGAAAATGTACTATATATATATATATTTTAAACAAATTGTGTACGTTCTTTGTATCAATCGGTAAAAGCAAAAGAAAAAGAAAATAAAATAAAATGAAACAACTTTTAACGATCAGGGTGAACTTGTAAGTTCCACTAACTTCACAACGGGCCTCCCAGTGTTCGGTGCACTCTTTGGCTGTCTGCAGTATTTATAAAACACCGACCGGAAAGCAACTGGCGAGCTGATTTTGGCGCCGAGCCGGCTTACCCGTGCGCCGACGCCTTCATCTTTAACGCTTTTTCGTCGGCGTCTTTTCAAAAACGACTTCCTAAGCTGTAACGAATCATCGTGGAACGTTAACGTTAACGTTTATCTTACGAATAGTACACGTTGCCAAAAATGTCATTTGATTCATTGTTCGCATTGTATTTGGTTGTTGTAAAACACGGATAATTTAAAGCTCATTGTTTCGGAAAAAGAAAGAAAAGTAGTAGAAATTCAATCGAACTTATTTTCATTTCAGTTAATTCCACCTAGAAAGTGATTTATATTTTATTATTTCATGAAAAAGTATTGCATAAAAAGAAAGAGAGAGAGAGAGAGAGAGAAAGGGAAAGGGTTGACCGATAATTTCATTTCAAATGTGTTTATTATTCCGTTCCACTGTCTTATTACAAATAGAAACCGTCGTTGTGCTTCGTACGTGCCCAGATTTCGATGCATTTCAAGGAATCGATTAATTTATTATAAAAGGCATTACAAGAAAACACAGACAGAAAACAGATCGTAGTACAGTCGTGTTATTTAATGCGAGACGCATTAACATATTCCTTACGAACATACAAATAACCGCAGGTTGCAGGTGAACAATTCTTTCTCTTTGTTTGTTTTTTTTTTTTTTTCTTTTATGTCGGCTGCAATATTACGGTACGTCGCACATTCGATTCATACGAACCTCTTATTTGGTATTTTTTTTGTATTGTTTTTTCTCTTTTTCTTTTTTTCTTCTTTTTTTTAATTTTCTTTAGATCTCGCGCGTATATCGTACATTTGAGCTCTATAAGGAACATGCTAATAAATATTACGGTAAAAGTGGAGGATTCATGCTCGATTACACACCAAGAATAGGAGTTGTAATGAGTAGAGAATGACTCTCGATTTTATTCTTCGAAGATCGTTCTGATTAATAAACGAACATGTGAATATAATTATATTATTGGCAATGATTCTGTCCCGTTAAGAAAATATTACATGCTGATGTGTAAAAGTATTGACTTTGGTATTTTATTGGTGATGACTCTAAAACGAGACACTTTTTTTTGTCCTTTGATATTTTTTCACATTGCACATGAAATTCGTATCATTGATATATAACTTTGGTAAGTACTTTAAATACAATAAGCACTTTGTATAATTATTTGTATCTGACATTCAATGAATTATCAGACAAATTTAATTAACTTCGATTAATTGAAACGATTCTGTTTTTTTTTTTTTTTTTTTTTTAATAATCAGTCTCGACGGTTGTATAATTTTACAAAACATTTGAGATACATGCATTTGTTAAATGAAGATATATATTCATTTGTATAATATTCATACATCCACGAGACTAATTGATTATTTTTATCATCCTCTAAACATGATTATTAATTGAAAGTCATTACCAAAGTATTACGATTCAATACTTTTGCACGTTATAATATAATAGTATACCCCGGTTTTTTTTTTTTTTGTCGAATGTGCTTTAAAAAACCGATGTATTGTGATACTCTCGCAGTTGTTAGCAGAAAAATTCGTGAATGTTCGATTGATGATTATTGATCGCGTTTAAGTTCAATCGAAATTTTCGAAACAAGCGTGTTTCATCTATTATTATTATTATTATTATTATTATTATTATTATTATTATTATTATTTCTTCTTCTTTTTATTCTTCTTATTATTATTCCTTTTTTTTTTCCTCCTCTATCATAGATTTATCTTTTCTCGCGATCGTCGATCGCATTTTGTGCTCTACAAAGTGACCGCGAGAAGTTGACTAGTTATATTCTACATATAATGTCGTATCATATATTTATATATACACAGCTACCGAATAACATATATAGTTTTATGATTTGTCCCTTAATTGTCGATTTCGTTTATGATACAAGTAATTTCTAAATCGTTGTACATCGTTACGTTTTTTTCTTTTTTCTTTTTTTTTTTTCTTCTTTTACCAGTGTCCCGTTCTATACGAAATTTAATTACATTCTTTCGAGATTTAACTTTTATTCCTTTTCTTCTTCCATCACCTTTCTTTCTTTCTTCCTTTTTTTTTTTTTTTTTCATCGACTCTTTTACTACCAATTAAAGTTATATTACACATATATACACACGCACACGTATACATGTGCATATGTATATCCGTGCACGTGTATTATAAATAATTATATTTATATTTATATTTATATATATATATATTTATATACGTGTGTGACCATTTTCAAAAGTTATGATTTTCTCACGTGGTATCGTTCTTTTTTTATTTCATACCTGTACTCGATAAATATATCAATGGATGTATATATATATATATATATATATATATATATTATGGTCTATAAAAAATAAGGAGAGAAAAAAAAAAAGGATATTCTTCCAGTATACAATTGAAATAAAATCACAGGTTGATAGGATGATTAAGATCGTGTCAGAGTAAAATCACGAAATAAAATCATAACTTTTGATTTTAATCACATTATCCTCCCCCGACGATCTCATTTAAACCAGTCTAATTTAAATCGACCCTCTCACGTCGTATTTCATTGTTTCTAAGTTANGGTGACCCACCATAATTATTTTTTCCTTTAAATGGATATTAAGAAAAAAAGAGAACAAAAAAAAGACAAATGATATGTGCGTATATTCAGACAATGTAAAATTATATGATGTGAAGTAAGTGGTGATATTATGTTACCGCTCATGCGCAGTTGGTTCGATATTAAGAAAAAAAGAGAAAAAGAAGACAAATGTTATGTGCGTAGATTCAGATCTATCTATATATTTATTAGCCACARCAACGCGTGGCCGGGGCACCCCTAGTATCTCTATATATATATATATATATATATTTTTAAACAAAAAAAAAAACAGCTATGATGTAACAATTATATTGGATAAATTATGTGAAAGAAATGTTTTTTCTTTTGTTTTTGTTTGTTTGTTTGTTTGTTTGTTTGTTTGTTTGTTCTTCAATTATGAAACTAACAAAGAGAGATGTCTTATAATCTAATTTCATATTAAAATATTTTGTCGTTTTATAAAGTGAAATCTCCTCTTACATTTTGAAGACTTCCAAATGGTGTAAATGTATAAACAAACAAAAATAAAAGTTAACTTTATCGTCCTGTCGTGACGCGCAAACGTTGCGATGTAACAGCTGCTTCCACCTGTTACAGGTTTTACACACAAAAGAAAAATAATATTTGCACACACACATATTTATACACAACGTGTATACATACTCACATGCGTTTTTACATAGAAGAAAAAACTAACAAACACACACATATAAAAATGGATATACATGTGTACACACACGTAAAAATTAGAAAAAAAAAAAAAAATTAAGAATAAAAAATGAAAAGAAAAAAAGAAAAAGAGGAAACGTTTTCCTTAAAAGAATTGCAAAGTTAATTCTTTATAGTAAAATGAAAACTTGAAATTGAAATGCGACGATGCCAAAATAGTATTAAAGGTAATAATTAGAGATTAAAAATATTTGTAATAATAAACGTATAAAGTATATAAGAAAGTCACGATGAATTGTTTAACATACACATACACGTCGCATTCGTACGCAAACACATGTAACAATAAAAATTAAAATGGAAACGATGAGAGGGTGATGTTGCGAATCATTTAAACATTATTAAAGAGATTAAAAAAAAAAAAAAAAAAAAAGGAAAAAAAAGTTAATATTTGTTGGAAGGAACTTTTCAAATGCGCGAGTAGGGGGAAAAGAAAATAGAAAAAGA